GAAGGCCCGCGCTCTGTGTATAGCGCAAGGCGGGAGTCAGGATTCAGAATACGGCAGCCTCAAGTCAGACATCAGCAGCCAAAACACGGAACCTAATTAGAGAAAAGAACAAAGACAAGAGGTAACAGCAGACGAGGCCTGGCAACCGGAAGCTGCAAACCGAATTCAGCCGCGCCGTGGTTGTTCGCCTGGCACCCCTCGGATTGGACCGTGTTGGTTCGTGAGTTGCGTTGCGCATGTTGGACCCGGACAGTCGAGATTGGACATCGGACAATGTGCATGTCCATCTGCAGACTCGAGCCGCATTATGGGCTGCCTTGCAGGTGGGGCAGTGTCGGGCCACACATGACAGTCTCTGTACCTTGACAACAGTTGCCAGGGTCCCTAGCCGCCTCGACTCTCGATTCCTGGTATCAACACGGGAGCGCAACCGCAGCCACCTGGGCATAGACAAAGGACGAAGCAGGTAGCACGCTTTGAAATGGCTTACGAGGCATTACATTCATTGTCCATTGTCTATCTTTTCTATTCCCGCTGCGTAGTCAACGCCCGCATCTCGCTGACTTGGAGACGATCCATACAACCAACAACAGTCGCACGCTAGCATTTTACAAACCCCCCCCTCCCCCCCCCCCCCCAAAAAAAAGGTAAAAGTAATGTTGTTCTATGGACGCGCAAGCCCTGAAGGGTCCGATCCCTCGCCCTTGATACTGCTCTCCTTGGCCAGCGGTGATGGGTTATCTGGTGTGACAGACCTCGACTCAACCCTCGGACGGTTTTTGGCCCCTGGTGCGGCTAACTTCTTGCGCCTTTTGTCAGATGCGTTTGATGCGGTGCTGGCCTTGCGTGAGACACTGCCTTCGTCCACCTCGAGCATGGGCGTCGGTGCGGGTGTTGAGCTCCGCGACCCTGCCACTGTGGACATGCTCCCCCTACGCGTGCTGTTGCTCCTCGTTCTCTTGTGCTCGCCTACTACCGCAATATGGCGTGGATGATGCACCTTTTCGGGTTCAACGCGCACTGCAACTTGAGGTTTCTCAGCGACAACACGACGCCATGGAAGCCACCAGAACCAGCCGCCGTGCTGCCTGCGCAGCTTTTGCTCTCGCTCCTTAATTTTTGTCCGTAGTAGCGCGCGCCGCTCGTTCTCCCTCTCCCAGTACTCGGAGCGGTACAGCTCCCAGTTCTCGCGAAACGTGGGCGAGAAGGGCTTCGCCAAGAGCAGTAGCTTGACGTAGTCCCCACCTGGCGATAGGTCCTCTTCGTGACCGCCCCTCTCCTCGTCGCCGTTCATAACGTGCAGCGCCGGGTGCGTCTGGTTGTTCAGATTAAGCTCCTTGTCGACCTCGCGCAAGACAGCCGGCTCGACGTAGCGGAACGACGACCCGGAGTTGGAGAAGAGTCCATATGTGAGAAACCATCCCGTCGTCGCCAGCGCCTCGCGCCACCACGGCCGCTTCATGACAACGAGCTTGCAGTTGAATCCCCGAAGGCCACGGTTTGACATGGCGAACCACCGCCGCGGCCACCGCACACCGCGCTCCCAGATGCCCGTGGCCCACACGAGCAGGCCAGTCATGATACCACCTAGAAAGCACATGCGCTCCGTCGTCTCAACCATCCAGTACACACTGCCGCCAACGCCGCTGCCATCCTCGCGCGGGGCCAGGAACAGGGCCCAGCCGAAACCCACAGTCCACAGCGACAGCAGCGACAGGAAGAAGGTATGGTGACGGCGGCGGGCACGCAGCTCGATATACTGGGCGCGCAGCGACGCCTCGAGGATGAGAAGGTTGAGGTAGATCATTGACGGCGAGCTCGGCGTGTGGCTGAGGGGGTCGCCGGCCTTGCCAGGCGTCATGGACGAAGAGACGGGGCTGGTGCCGCCGACGGCCTTGGGCGGATCGCGGCCGGGCAGTGCGACAGGGGCGCCCTTGACGATGGAGTCGAGTGAATCGGCCATGGTTGTTGGTTGAACGAGAGACAGGGGAGAGATCGGGAGCCGTAGCCCCGCGAGGCCCGGGGATGGGATTCGGAGTCGGTGTGAGGGGGTCGGGAGTGATTAGGGGCGGTTATTGTTTTGACGCATCGGCTTACAGCAACGCGTCAGACAGCCAGTGCCGCAGTCGGTGCCGGAGCTGATCACTGCTACATGCAATCGATTGTGTGGATCGCGAGTCTAGCCGGATCTTAGGTATTGCCGTGGTGGAATTCTTAGAGGTCGGGTGTTTTGCTCAGCGCTGTGACGGACAAGTCCCCGATTTTTCGGAATGCGATGGCTTGCAGCGGGCTAGCCTCCCTGTTTGGGAATCGAATTGGGGCAGCTCCGCCACAGTTGTCGCTGTTGAGTTTGCTGTGGCTATAACCACGGAGTTAACGGATGTTAGGTGCAAAAAAAAAATTCAAAAATCCGCTATATTTGCGCCGAAGCAATCAGAATTAAGAAGATTTGAAACCAAAATTTCCATTGCCTGCTCAATAGCCCGAATACGTGGTCGTCAGGCGCAGACAGCAAGCCGAGGGAGGCATGGCGTATGGTTGCTGGCAGCAAGGCAGCCGGTCGACGTCATCGGCATTCGCGGCGACCGGGCCTTTAGGGGACCAAGACAGCTAGACACCCCACTGAGGCGGGTGCAGCCGGCGGCAATTCGGGACAGCGGAGGGTTGTAAAATCCGATGTGGCTTGTGACTGGGTTTGGGGCCTGGATGGCTGCACCGTCCCTTTCCCGTCCCAACGAATGTGAACAGCGTGCCCTGAAACTGTGTGATGGATAAGGGGCGTGGCCCGCACCGACATGCTCAAGACGTATTCGAGTTCTTTTCTCCTGCCAAAGCGACTGAAGCTTATTTCCCTAGCTGCGCGGTTTGACGACCATAAGAGCAACATGACGACCGACGGCACCATTCCCGGGCCACGATCCCAACAACCCATGCTGGCCTCGCAGCGCGCGCAAGCGTCGGCACAGTCGCAGCCATCTAGCGACGGCGACCAAAAACCACAACGCGGCGCAATTGGCGCATATTTTCCCCTAGGCTACAAGGAGGCAGCTACGCAATGGGTGAGTTTATTCTGACCTAAACGCCGCGGGGCAGTGAATTGACGAGACGGGCTTAAACGTAGTGGACAAGTATATCATCCCGCCAAGCCGAGCGAAATGTTCTCTCCCTCATCCCCTCCTTGAGGGAAGCCGACGGCGCCGAGACTTCGCAGGGAAACCATACTGCCAAAAATGACCCCTTCGGCCAGCGAGTATGGCGCTCCTCAATGGTCCAGCTCTCGGGCAAAAATCGCGCCCTCAACGAACTCTCTATCCACCGTACCGATGAACAGGTCGACGATACCCTCGTTATGCTTCACGGCTACGGCGCTGGCCTAGGTTTCTTCTACAAGAACTTTGAGCCCCTAAGCCGGGCAAAGGGCTGGCAGCTGTACGCTCTGGATATGCTCGGTATGGGTAATTCGACTCGGCCGCCCTTCAAGATCAAGGCGACAAACCCGAAGGAAAAGATCGCCGAGGCCGAAAACTGGTTTATCGACGCCCTGGAGGAGTGGCGGCGCGTCCGCAAGATCGAGAAGTTTACATTGATGGGACATTCTCTCGGCGGCTATTTGGCAGTTTCATACGCCCTCAAATACCCCGGGCGACTCAATAAGCTCATCCTCGCTTCCCCCGTCGGCATCCCCGAAGATCCATGGGCCGTGAACGCCGACATGCCCGAGCCTGAGGAGTCGACCATGGCCAATGAGTTCACCCAGGATCAGGAGAGCATCGCAAACGGCAGGCCAGCACCCGGCAGCGACAACAACAATTTTATGCGCGCTCGCGACAAAAAAGCCGCCGCCGCCGCCAACCCCAACTCCACCACTCCGCCCAAGCGACCTCTCCCGAGCTGGCTCGTCTGGCTCTGGGACGCCAACGTCTCCCCCTTCAGCATCGTCCGCATGACGGGCCCGCTCGGCCCGCGCTTCGTCTCGGGCTGGACGTCGCGCCGGTTCAACCACCTGCCGCCCGACGAGAAGGAGGCCCTCCACACGTACTCGTACTCGCTCTTCCGTCAAAAGGGGAGCGGTGAGTACGCCCTCCCTTACATCCTCGCCCCTGGCGCCTTCGCCCGCAGTCCGGTCATCAACCGAATCCAGGACGTCGGGCGGCAGGTCGTCAAGCCCGCCACCGGGGCCAAGCCGGCTGTAAGAGAGACGGGTTTCCCGATCGTGTTTATGTATGGTGACAATGACTGGATGGATGTCGCGGGAGGTTTTGCGGCTGAGGAGAAGGTGAAGCAGGGGATCGTCAAGGCACTGCTGAACGTGACCGAGGAGGAGAAGAGGCGCGAGGGCGGTAGTGCCAAGGTAGTGATTGTCAGCAAGGCGGGGCATCACCTGTACATTGATAACGCCGATGAGTTCAATGCGTATATCAGAAAGGAAATGGAGGAGACGAGGGCGCAGGGTTTGAGGGAAAGGGCTATGCGCTCGTGATGGGAATAGCGGTAGGTTAATGGCTCTGCCGAGGGGCTCGATTGCATGGACGGCGTTTGGGAGTTATCATAAGTTGGCTGTTACAAGAAAGGGGGAGACTTAATTTAGCCTCGGAGCCATCGGAAGCTTTTTTTTTAAAAAAAAAAATGCTTGGTTGATTACCGCTTGGAGGCATGACACGGGTGTTTCCGTGTCTCAGGGGAACTTTACATCTTGCTCGATGTGAGCCGGCTAGGTTCAACCTCTGAATATTGTTTTGTCATTGTCCCATTCAGGACCTAGATCTATAGAATTGTCAGAGATGCTCAAGATATGCCAAAGTACCTACCCCTCTATGTACTTGTCTCTTTCCGTTGCAACAGGGCACATCTATTCAACCCGCCAAGAATTACTTCAAGTTCAAATGGACCCCTTGACAGAGCTGGATCAATCTCATGGCGCGACTTTGACATTCCCCAACCACAACCAACACTAAAAAAAAGTAACACACACCACAAGAAGGACAAAAATAAAAATATATCGACGTAGGCCGGACTTGAATCGACGCTCCCGAAGGAACAAGATATCCTGGAAGATTCCTAGTCTTGCGCATTAGACCACTCTGCCACCACGCCCTAGTGAGTCCCGACTGGGCTGTTGATGGAGTACAGTCCCGTCGGAATCGCCTAAGCACCCACAAGCAAGAAGGGGGGATCTAGACAAAAAAGATAGCTAAAGAGATCGCGGGCGGGGTTGAACTGAAGCCATGGGGGGAAGTGATGGAGTAGAGATGATCGAGCCAAGGGTCGCAGGATGGCAACTTCACTCTGGTGCCTAATGTTAGCCTGAGACTTTCTTACTTCTTAGCCTAGATTTACTTTCTTACCTGAACATACCGGACTCTCCAGCTGTTATTGCTACCAGATTCCACGGCTATACATTGGTAGTCGTCGATAAGACCCAATGAATCAGATCAATGAATCAGATTTCTTATTTGGCGAAAGTTAGTTCTTACTTCAACGAAGATACCTACTTATCCACCTTTCAAGCCTTCTAATCTGGCTCCCATGATAAAAGATCAAACAAGGTGGTAAGCGAGCCTTGTTTCTGGCCGTTAAAATTGGTTGAGAAATCTCTTATTCCAAACCTTGATTCAGGGGCCATATCTCGCTCCACCAGAGTAGAGGGCAGCAAAAATCGATCCACCCAGGTCTCGAACCTGGAACCTCCTGATTCGTAGTCAGACGCTCTACCATTGAGCCAGCGGACCACTTGCTGAGTGATAATTGTGATTGTGTGGTTTACCAGATTCTGTTTGCGAGACTTTCGGGTTTGGTCAGCCCCACATATCCAGGCAGGATGCCCCTATTCAATGTTTGGAAAGTTTCCATTGTCGATGCGGCCGACATGGATATCAGGTGTCAAGCGCTGTTAGGTGTTAATACAGCATATATGGAGCAGTGTGAACCATGTCGTTGCGAACAATACTCTTTGGAAATAGGTAGCTAAAACTTTGTCCCAAGAGTTTTGCTCATCGATATAAAGTCGCAAAATCTTATGATTATCATTGGTACATACCTAGGTAGGTATCCAGATAAACTCTCATCTCGTCTTCTCCTCCAAGAGCAATACTTCGTCTTTCGTCGGGTTTTACTCCCCGACATCTCATCCCTGGAAAGTACCTAGGGATTATAAGAAACAATGGGCTATCCTTTATCGATATGAACGTGATGCAGCCCAAGTCAGTCACAAGATAGTAGTAATCTCAACACGAAACCAAAAGGCTAGGGACCCTCTGCTACGTGCCCAAGGCATTCTAATGAATGGCAGAAAGCTTGTGAAGATGAGACTCTCTCCAAGTTGACAACCCTTACAGAAAGTATTAATGCCTACCTAAACTAGGCTTTTCCCCCAGTAAGCAGTGGCAATCCGGATCCCAATTAGAGCCATCATGGCAATGTACATTTTCCATCTATACACCTCTCTCCCGATGACAGGCAATGTCGAGACCCGACATCTTATATCCGTAAACTCATTAGCACCCCTTCTCCTCTTCTATCTTGCCTCATCGCCCCCGCCTCCCATTTGCTCCTCCGCACTAGGTTTCCAAAATCATTACGGTACTAACTTAATCAAGTAGAATGGTAAACAGACATCGTACTCCGCCCCAACGACAGCATACAGATAAATGTATACACCCGAAAGAGCAGCAGACCACCCCGATTCGCAGTAAGGACTGAATGCACACAGGAACACCTAGCCCAACGCCTCATGGCGAAAAAGAAACAGAGCCGTGTCCAAGCGACAATTACCCCGAATACCTTTCCTCACAACACTTTACTGCATTATATACTCCTAAGGATTCCGCTCGGGCCCTGTGCCAGCATGCGGCCCCAGGTCGTTCATATCCTCCCTGCTCTCGTGAAATACACTCCTCCTCAGCGGGCTTGTCGGGCTTGTGCCGCTGGCAGTGGCACCCCTCTCCGTCACAGGCGCCGCCTCTTGCCCAGCGCTCACGTAATCGGCCGCTTCGACACCCGGCCCCGCGGTCGGCGGCGAGACTACCGTCTGCCCATCCCCATCGGAAAAGACATCATTATGATCGACACTCTCGGCCACGGGCGACATGCCGCTCTCGCGCTCCTTCTCGCGTTCTGCTGCGAGACCCGTCGCAACCGAGCTGACGACACTGGTGTCGCTGATGGTTCGGAGATGCGCCTTATCTCTCTCGCTGATGTTTGACACGCCAGAGGGAACATAGCCGCGGCCCGTTGGGGCGGGGGATGTTGGCGTGGACTCCACAGTGTTGGCGATGGCGGCGGTGGAAGGTGTTTCGGCATACGTTGCGGGCGAACTAGCTGGCAGCTCGGTCGACGAGTATTGGTGTTGAGAGTGGTGCTGGCCGAGGGAGGCGGAAGAGGGGGAAATGGAGCTGGCGTGGTCAATCTGGTGTGTGCCAGTCGAGGAGTAATATGAGCCGTTGTTCAAGACAGGGCCAGCAATGAGTTTTTCTTCGCCAAGGTGTGAGTAACGGTTCATCACATCGAGATGGGTCAGGCCGGTATCGTGCAGTTCGACGCGAGGGGAAGTGTCTATGAAATGTCAGTAGTGCGCCGGGAATTATTGACTGGGTTAGGGGAGGAAAACGCACCCATTAGCTCGACAGGCGCCCGAATCTCCGTGTTCATCATCTCGGCCATGGACAACGGGTGCGTCGTCACACTCTCGAGGTCATCAGGACTGCTAGGTGTCTCTTCCGATGTGACGGTCCCCGCCTTGCCATCAGTGTTTTGTCCGCGCATCCAAGACATGATACGGTGGCCGTTGGTGTCTTCGGTGCCGGCCTCGCTCATTCCAGTGCGGCCCCTCAGAAGCTTGCGCCGCCTCCAGAGCAGGATCAAGACGGCAATCATGGTAAGGAACATCAGGCCCAGGACCACGCCGAGAACGGGCCCAAGGAAGGCTGGAGTGCCGCCGTCGCTCTGTGGCTCAACCGTTACCGTGGGTAGAGTTGGGTTGGTATTGTTGGTGGGAGCCACAGACTCATACGGATAGTAAGTCGCGATCTTAGTTACCGGATACTTCTCTCCGAAAACGGAGGCCAAATCGGTCGCAGCCCAACCCGACGGTCCCGGTGTAGTTGCCGTGGCGCCACCGGTGGGAGATCCACCAATCTTGGAGACGACGGTATCGGGGATGGTATAGTTCGACCACTTCGCCGGGTCATAGCTCTTCAGCCAAGCGGCACTGGACACGTTGAAGACCCGAACGGTCTCTTTGAGACAAGTCAGAGCGCCGCCGGAGCTCTTCGTATAGCCTCCGATGGCAAACATCTGGTCGGGATATGGCATGAAGCACTTGTGCCCAGCACGTCCGGGGCCGGTCCCTACTGAGACCTTGACCCAGGTAAAAGACGGGATGGACAAAACCCACACGTCATCGTTGAACTCCTCGGTCTTTGTCAAGCCGGTATAGCCGCCATAGTAGTAGATGCTGAAGCTGGATTGATCCTGAGCCGGGATGACAACGGAACAACCGCGAGTGAGCTGTCCCGGCCCGCCCACTGTCGGCTGGCTATACCACTTATCACTCGCGACGTCGTAGATGTTGATAGTCGACATGAAGGAGGGGCTTGTGGCTTTCTATAACAGCATTAGCATGGCGTCTGGGAAAATGTGTTTCTTACTGCTACGGGGAAACTAACACTGGCCGCCGCGTTAGACGACGTTCCGAGGTATCCGGTGAACTCGGGAAAGATGACACCTCCCAGGGCGACGAGAATGCCTTCCTTCCCTACGGGGACCCAAACAAGCTCGGGGTTCGCGCGTCCAGGGATGCTCGATGGCAATGTTACGTTCTTCCAAGTCTCCTTCTGTTGAGTTGTCATGTCCAACGTGATGAAAGTGCTAGAGACGTTGATGGCCGTGAGAGATTCGTTAAAGCTCGGCTCGTAAATCGGACCCCAGCCGGGTGCGTGCATGCCCGAGAAGTACCACGCCTTGTTCTCAGAGGGGGCCGAGGCCCCTCCTCCGTACGCAAGATATCGAGTCAAGTCAGAGGGGAGGTCGTCTTGAAGAAAGCCGGAGCTGAAGATCTCCTTCTCTGGCCCGTACTGGTACTTCTGGAAAGCGATGATCTCATTCTTGTCCGGATCTGAGAAGCTGGTAGTCTGTCGCAGCATGCCGCCGTAGGTGAAAAACTCAGCATCGTTGCCCAGCATGGCCCCATCGAAGTAGTTGGGCGCATAGTTATTAGCCGCGCCTGACCCGCCAGCAGCCTTTGAGAGAGCTCCAAATACCGCCGTGATGTTGTCGGTAGTTGTGAAGGGCTTGCTGAAGTTGAGTGTATATACAATACCCAAAGGGTTGTCTACGGGGTAGTATCAGTACCCCCATCACGTTCTCCTACGGACGATGATACTTACGGTCATTCACAGTTTGCCCGTAGGTTCCGTCGCTGAGGCCAGGAAGCCACCACAGACTTCCACCATCCATATAGACGGTGTCGCGGATGACATGGGCTGTGACAGGTGTTAGATGGACTTCCTCGAGAGATACAGGTCAAGAAACTCACCTCGGAATTGAGCCCATTGGCATATGGTGGTGTTGACCTGATCAGCTGGCCATGCGGCCTGGCCGTGTGCGACGGAGGCAAAGGCCGTCACGGCGGCCAAGAGGCCGGCACCCGGCCCTAGCATGGCGGCACGGAACGGGGTTTAATCGGAGAGGTGAGCGAACACCAGCCGGATGAAGGATCAGGCAAGACCGCTGATCCAGCACGTTGTAAACAAACGGCACTTAATCAAGACTCAAGCCAACTCCAGAGCCATCAGTCTTGGAGCGATAGTCAGTCACAAGGGTTCCCCGAAAGGGCTGTCTGCCAAGCTGTGTTAGACAATGCAACAGGCACTTAGTTGCTCCGTCTGAGCGTGCGACTGGTTGCGTAGTGGTGCAACAAAGGAAGCTCGGTCTTGCACGAGTCCATTGAGAAGGTGTCTCAGGGAAACATTGCAGGCAGTATCTCGAATCAAAAGCACAGGGCACTCGATCTTACCGGACGGAACCAAAGTCTCCCAGATCAGTCAGACCCCACAGGTAGACAAGCCAATGATGAGCAGTGCAAGGTAGGATTGGGT